CCTTGATTAGTACAGTACACCTCTGAGTGTATCTGTGAATGCATTTCTAGAGGGATTAACTAAGGAGGAAGACCCCGAATGTGGGCAGCACCATCCCATAGGCTGGGGTCTGGGTGGAATAAAAGGAGAATGCCAGCCAGCGTGAGTGCAGGCATTCTCTCTGTCTGCTTCCTGGCCATGGCAATGTGAGCTACTCTGCCCTGCCATGCCCTCCCCACCACACACAATGGACTGAAACCTCTGAAACTGTGAGCAAAACAAATCCTTACTCCCTTAAATTGTTTCTGTCAGGTATTATTGTCACAGTGATAGAAAAGTCTGACTAATATACCATGTGAATGTGTTGCCTGTCTAAAGGAAACAGAAGAAAAGCCAGTGTAGATCTGAAAGCAAGACATGCTAGCCATAAGGAGGAGGTTGAGATAGCTTTTACAATGGCCTGAGATCTAATCCTAAAAATATAAGTACTTTCCTATATAGATGTTTATATGTGATAAAAGTTTACTGTTTAAGTTAGTTATTAAAGGTCATGAAAATATTTATAAAGTAAAATTAGTATGTTAGTAAAATTTCTGAGGACATTGATTCAGACTTGAGGAATTCTGACTGCCATGTCATGTTTAACAACAATGCAGTATTGCTTCTGATGCGCACAGTCCACAGTGGAGATTTCTTCACTTGGGAAATCATTCAAGTCCCTTAGTTAGCAAGCTACTATTATGTGCCAGATGCTTTGCTAAACACTGATCAAATAATTTATAAAAAACTACAATCTTTGCTATCATGGGGTTAGAATTCTGGTGGGGAAATAGACAACAAACAAGACAAATATGTGAAACATGTACTATATTTCATTAATCCTACAATTCACATTTTTTCCCATGTTTTAAAACCTGAAACCAGGATGTATCTTTTGGTAGATTGCACTGTACAACTGAAGGGTTTTTTTGTTTGTTTTATTTTGTTTCCTTTGTCAAAGGTACACTTGATGGTGTAGTAGATCGAATGCAATACAAGAAATATTGTACATAGACTAATGCATCACACTGATAAATGCTACAAAGAAAAAATAAGAGACGAGAGACAGTATGAGGAGAATGCAATTTAGAACAGTCAGGAAAGACTTATGTAAATTTGAGTAAACTTAAAGAAGGTGAGGGAGTGAGGCAAACCTCTGTGTGGACATAAGCATTCCAAACACAGCAAAGACCAAGCACAAAGAACAAATGGGCAGAAGGGTCATGCTGTGTAGGACTTTCCACTCAGTGTATGACCATAGTCTTTAGTCTAGAGAGGTGGGATAATATAATACTTAGAAGAACAGGCTGTAGAGCCAGATTGTTCCTCTTGCTCAGCTCTGCCACTTCTAGCAGTTCCTTCATTGGTTCAGTTAACTTTCTTGACCCATTTCTCCATCACTAAAACAGGACTATTAATGCTATCCTTCTTATAGGGTTGTTGTGAGGACTCAATAAATTACTATTATTATTATTATTGCAGTACCGAGCAGTATTATTGAACTATTAAATATAGAGCCTCACTAATGCTAGGCAAGCACTGTACTACTGAGCTACACCTCCAAGTAAATTATTTTATGCAAAGCATTTTGAACAGAGCTTGGCAAATAAAGAGTATCACGTGGTTGACATAGTTATTATTTATTAGTTGGGAATTTTGACTGCTGCTTTACCATTATCAATTTATTTTGTTGTGATGTTGTTCAGTTAATGGATAGTAATGTATACTTGTTTTTGGACACTGATTTTCCAGTAACTACTCTTTAAAAATCTGTATGTGATATATTTCAAATACAAATTGATTTCTACTCATCCTCCTAAGCAAGTAGAGACAATGCTCCATCTTACCACCACCTCCCAACGAAACAACAATCTTGTGCAATGATGCTTCATTGTCTTAGCTGAATTTTCCACTGAAAAGTAAGAAAGGATGGAAGAAGTGAGATACTGAAGGAAGCAATTTAGTAAAATGGATTGAAAACCAATGAATTTTGTTAGAGGCTCTGTTGTCAGGTTTGGTTTAGAAAAAGGAAAATCATTCCTATTTGCTTAAAACTTTGAATTATGTATTTTTTAATGATTCACAGCATTCTTATCTGGAATGCCTAAATTCATGAAAATTAGAAGTATAATAGTGTAAGTCAGGGAGTCACAACTCTTTCATGTTTTTTCTTCCTTTATTAAAAAAAAGGTTCTTAAGCATTTACCATGTTAAAGAATTTGTGCCAAGATGATGAAAGGGTATAAACAGGAGTAAGACATACTCCCTAACTTTTCTCCATAAATCAGTGTTAGTGGATTAATATGTAACCTTCTTCCTCTTAAACAAGGAGTCCATCGTCCATGTTATGGTTGTTCCATAGTCATGATGCTTCTGTTCCCCTTTTAGGCCCTAATTGGGAGACAAAATAGATACCACACCCTCTTTGCCTTGACTTCAGAGTGGAAGTAGGGAGTAGCTCCCCTGTTCTCAGGCACTAGAGTACAGGCAAGATCTCAAGGCCAGAGAACTTGGATGGTTCCACCCTCATCTCCTCAGCATCCAACTGTCCATCCCTCCTGCCCATAGTCCTTCCTGCACAGGGGATTCAGCCCAGGGAAGAAAAGAGGTCAAATGAAAGAAAACTCATAATACACTCTTACTACTATACTTACCAAAGTATAGTAACCTATCATATTCACCAAAGTTTAAAAAATACAGGACATTTTGACAAGGCCGTTGTCTTAAAAACAACCTTGCTAAAATATCAAGGTGTTATGCTTCATTATGGAATAATAGGAGGAGTCAATATCCTGAGGCCCCCCACCCATCTCAGATCCTCATCCCTGATGATGGGGTAGAATAAGGCTCAGGGAGGAGAGGAGGTGAAGCTCAGGAAAGGGTGAGGCTTAGGGACTGGGTGAGGTTCTTTGCACGCATAACTTGGTATTAAAATGCCGAGCATTTATTGGTTACTTTTTTTAGGTTGCAACAAAATGCCCCCATGGAAAATGTCTGAAGTAAAATGTCAAGTGTTTAGTTTTAAAGTAGAGGACAATGCTTAACACATAGATTTTTGGCAGTATTACTCTAGCGTTCTTCAAATCACCCCAGCTTAAAACCTTGGCACTAAAAAAATGAACTTTCACCATATGGTATGTGTTCTCCACAATTCCACTCCACAAATGAAAAAAGTACCCTCTTCCTTAGCATAACACTCAAACATTCTTTCAATGATTTATTCATTGATCCATCAACATTTCTTTGTATGAGACGGTGGTAAGCAACAGAGATATAAAAATGGGTAACATGGTTCTGCCAATAAATTTGGCTTAACAAGTTTTTATTAAGCGTCTACCTTATATTAATATCTGCCAAATGCTAGCATGTAGATAAGCATCTGGATTTCAAGGAAAGATTCGAGGAAATGATGCCAGAGTTGAGGCTTAAGGAACTAGCAGGAATTTGCCTGATGAAGGAGAGGGCAAATGAGGCAAGAGAAAAATGCCCAGAGTATGTGTGTGCTTAGGGGCTAGAAAGGAGGCAGGAGCCAGATCAGAACAAGCCTGTAGGTCAAACTAAGGAATTTGGATTTTATTCTAGAGAATGGGGAACAGCTGGAGGAGTCTAAGAAGAGGACTGACATGAACCAATGTTTTCTTCTTGTTACCCAAGAGTGGAATGGACACTGCAATGGCGGGAAGCTGAATGCAGACAAACTAGTCTAGTTAGGAGACTCTTGCTGTAATCTCAGTGAGAAATGATGAGAAGAATATAAAACATGTCACAGGAGGAGAGGATGGACAGCAAAGGACCTAAATGGGATACATTCTATAAATAGAAATCATACACTCGACTGTTGATTGGACATATGAAGGTGGAAAGTCACAGATTTCCCAATCTCCTCCTTCTGCCTCAGGCAATTACTTGGATAGTGGTACTATAGAGCATAGCAGAGCACACAGTGGAAGCATGTTGACTTTTTTTTTTTTTAATAAGGGAGGCTGGGGAAGATGATGAGTTCAATTTTAAACAATGACTCTGAGATCTACAGGGAATCCAAGTGGAAAGGTGTATGAATCAGATAGTTGGCTAACTAGACTGAGCTTTCAAGCTCGAGAAATTTACAAGACTACTCCAGAAACATGTGTACCTGGCAACCTCATTTCAAAAGGAACAGGCATACCGGTTTGGAAAAATGACATTCTTCATGTTCAAGAAAGAAACAATGAAAATGCAGGAGTTGAGAGTTAATAACAAAACATGCTAACTCGTTACTAAACTCACACTTGGGAACAATATATTTCTATTTTCCAATTTCTTCTAGAGTAAGCTAAATGCAGGTTTCGATGGGGTTACTCCTCATAACACTGAGAATTAGCGGTGTACCTGGTGTGTGGATCTAGGAATTCCTTTTAGCAGGTTTGAAGAGTAAGAGCTGAGAAATGCGCCCTCCAGTGGCAGTGGAATGAGGGGGTCTCTAGCACCGTTCTTACATCAAACAAAGCCCTGTAAAGAAATGCAATTCACAGGGATCAGAAGGCCACAAAGCTCGTACTGCTACACCAAAGAACCAAACGAACCCTCCCAGGGGCCAGGACCCCCTTACCTGTCACGTTGGCCGAAGGAAAATTTCACTTTCGACTCAACAGAATAAGACCCCAAATTTGATAGCTTGCCGCAAGTTCCGTCGGCAACAATTAAACACCCCACAAGCCAAAACACGTAGTCTAATCAGATCCCCTCAAGCCGGCTGGGCTGGGCTTCAACCACGTGGGCGGCATTGGCCAAGCAGGAGCCATCCGCAAAGGGCGGGGGAAGGAGGCGTGGCGGGGAAAAGGCGTGTCTCTGCGGCGGAGGCGGGGCCCGGCTGGTGGGCGGAACCTGGCGGACTGCGGCTGCCTCCTCTCCCCTTTTGCCTTCGCCCTTCGAGCTGCCACGTAACGCCACGTACCCGCGCATGCGCACCTCGGCCTGGGGCGGCCGCTGTTTCCGGGCTAAGAGGGCTGGAGCGGCTGTGGAATAGGAGGCGGTGGTGGCCGCGGCCGGGGAGTTCAGAGTAAGGGCTTGGGGACCCGGCCCTGCAGGAGGGCTGGGGAAGTTGTCTTTTCTTTCCCGAAGGGGCTGGTAAAGCCGGTGACTGAGCGGCAAGATGAATTTCCTCCGCGGGGTAATGGGGGGTCAGAGTGCCGGACCCCAGCACACAGAAGCCGAGACGGTGAGAGGAGCGGCGGGTTCGGGACTTGGGAAGGGTCCGGGTAAGGACGGGGACGGAGGACCCAAGGGCCTGGAGGTCACTTCCCGCGCCCCACCGTGGGTCGGGGATTCAGATGCCGCCCTCCCTTTGCCTTTCTTCCCTTCTTAGAACCCCCGAGTTCTTCCTTCGCGCCCCACCGCGGCGGCTCGTTGGGCCCGTCCGGCCACTGTCAGCCGCGCCCCGCGGCCCCGGCGAGGAGAGCGGCCGCAGTGGACGGATCCGGGGCAGAGGTGCGGCGACCCGAACCCACGCCCCTGCGCCGCTGCCCCTCCCCCTTTCCCTTCAGCTGGCGCCGCCGCTGGCTCGAGGATCCTAAAGTCCGGCTGCCTCCCTGGCCCGCTGACACGCGGCGTTGGGGAAGACGGGAAGGAGGTTTAAAACTCAGCTGTTGGCGAGAGCTTGTGGCTAAGAATAAAACGATATTCTTTAGGGCACAGGGCCACCTGCTTCTGTCCCATCAACTGAAAGGACGGTTATTCTGCCTAGTGCCATTAGTTAAGACGCCCGATTTTCAGGCTCACCCAAAACTGTGTCATTTAGCAAACTAACTCAATTCACATTGTACAGCTATTTCATGCTCAGATCACTTTGGGGACACATTTCCCGCCTTTCTTCGATTTTTAAGAGCATTAAAAAAGTATTAGGCAACAAAAACAGTATTTGGTAGTTGATTAGATTTTAGGTATTAGATGCACTTACTTTGAAGTTTCATTAGAGTCTATTGGAAATGATAGTGTGTGGCATTTTCTAAAAAACTTTTTATTTAAGAATAACATTAGATCTACAGAAAAGTGAGTAAGTGTGACATGTAAAGGTAAACTTTGACTAGTTGTCAGAATCAACTTTGTTACTGGGACAGTAAAGTATAACAATAATAGTTTGCATTTGTCAAGCCCATACCTTGTGTTGGATGCTAGGCTGAACTCTTTTATTCCACATTCTCCTTTAATCCTTAGTTTTACCCTGTAAGGTGGGTGATAGTATCTTCACTTTACAAGTGAAGGAATGAGGCTTAGAGAGGCGAAATAACTTGACCAAAATCTTAGAGCTAGGATTCTACCAAGGTGTGACTTCCTTCAAAGCCTACACTTTATTGCTGATGCCCATATTTCAGTTCCTATCTGGGAATTTTGGAAATTTATACAGCACTAAAATTAATTGCACAAATCTAAGCTAGAACTTGGAGGGGGGGGCACATGCACTGAGAATTGATCTCAGGGCCTTGCACATGCCAGACAAGCAATATACCTACCACTGGACTACACTCCTAACACAGATTAGAACTGTTTAAAGCAGAAGCTGAAAGCTAGTGAATCTCTTGGTTTCATTTAAAATTCAGGTCTCCTCCTCCCTCTCCCCTTCTTCGTCTCTCATATGTGTACACATAAGTGTACACACATTCACACAAATGATATTTGACTTTCCTTGTCAATTGTCACATGGCAACAGGCGCAAGCTACTCTTATCAGAAAGCTATGCTTTTTCTCCAGATTACCATAGTCACAAACTACCTCTTTAGCCTTTGTCCCCTTATTTTGTCTGGTTTTTGTGTTCAAGACACTCAGCTTTTGAACTGTGGCTTATTAGAACTTGCTTTGAAATTAGACCCTGACTTGAATCCTGATCTTTTCACCCTTAATCGAATTGGACAGAAGTTAGATAAGCAGTACTCTAATACTTTCTAAATAACGTAAAGACAGTGCCTGAGCTTAAGGGTGTACTGAGGATTAAGTGGAAGAAATAGGAAGAAGTTGGCACTTAGTAAATACTTAATAAAGGTTAGTTTTTTACTGCATGTAGGTTAGAGGAAGAATACCCTTTATTATACTTGTTGCAATGACTTCTGTAGAAAAGATGGTATAGAATTTATCATAGAATATAGGATTTTTTTGTGTGTGTGGTACTGGGATTTGGACTCAGGCCCTACACCTTGAGCCATTCCACCAGCCTGTTTTTGTGAAGGGTTTTTTCAACATAGGGTCTTGCTAACTATTATTTGCCCTGGCTGGCTTTGAACTGTGATCCTCTTATCTTTGCCTCCTGAGTAGCTGAACAATTTCGTATAGATCATCCAGGTCAGGCCTCTTTCTTTTACTAAGCAACTTGTACAGTATTGAAGAGCTGCGACTAGAACACTTTGATCTTGTCACTGTGAATGGAACAACATAGTTTTTATATCATGATTTCAAAATGTAGCGTGGGTGTCACTTGTGTATATTGTATATATAAGCTGAAAGGAAAGTAAGGGTCCTTGTTATTGCTTAACTTTGAGTGTATACAGTCAAAATTGAAAAAGTAATTTGTCTTCTGAAGAGAATCAATATACTCTGAGCTACAGTATGAATAAAATTTGTCAACATCTCATTCTATGAGGAAGTACAATAAGGAGTCGTAGGTCACTAGAAGTATATTTAGAGTATCAGTGGAGTACATCTAATATTAGATACTTTGGTTGATGATTTGATCTGGTCTGGGTATTTGGCTTATTAGAGCTTGTAACCTCTAACTTATATCATTTAATACTATGTAGTTTCTTTTATTTCTGCAAAACTATATATTTTTAAGTGTAATTTTCCATCTTTTCTCATCTTTCTAAATGGAAGATCTCTTTTGTCTGAATTGTATCTGGTCTTCAAATTCATCACCATTGTCTTCCCTAATCTGCATTTCTGACTTCTTTCCCTCACCACACTGCAGATAACTTTTTCCCCCTGAACTGCCTTTGCTTCATAACTAGATTGTACTTTTCTCGTGCTTCCTACCATTTACACACACCTTATCCCTTGTAGTCTGTTAAAGTGACTTTTAGTTCAGGGTTCATATGTATTCAGCCTTTTTTTTGTTTGGCAGGACTGGGGGTTGAACTCGTCTCATGCTTGAATTTAGCCTCCCACCTACTAGACAGGTGCTGTACCACTTGAGCCACTCTCCCAGCCCTGGTTTTTTTCTTTATAGTGGGACTGGGATTTGTGCTCAGGCCTTCACATTTGCAAAGTAGACACCCTACCACTTGAGTCATGCTTCCCATCAATTTTGCTTTGGTTATTTAGGAGATGGGGTCTCATGAACTATTTGTTTAGGGTGGCCTCAATCTTCCCGATCTCAGCTTCCCAAGTAGCTAGGATTACAGGTGTGAACCACCAGCACCTAGCTCAACCCTGTATTTCAAACTTTGTTTTTCCCTAGTACATGCTCAGCAAGTGAATTAATTATAGTTTTATTTGAAAGAAATCACAGCTCTATAATAATAGCAACATAAATACTAGTATTACAGGTATTACAAAACTACATCTTAAGGGTTTTAGAAATCAAAGTTCTCAAATAATTGAAATTCATTGTGTCAAACTTCTATCAAACATTTCAGTTAGGGATTTTTCAGCTCACTGATTGCTTTGACTGTTTTCCTCCTTTTTCTTTCCTTTTCTTTAGAGAGTGTCAGAGAGAGAGAGAGAGAGAGAGAGAGAGAGAGAGAGAGAGAGAGAGATAAATACTAGTATTACAGGTATTTCAAAACTACATCTTAAGGGTTTAGAAATCAAAGTTCTCAAATAATTGAAAATTCATTGTGTCCTTCTATCAAACTTTCAGTTAGGGATTTTTCAGCTCACTGATTGCTTTGACTGTTTTCCTCCTTTTTCTTTCCTTTTCTTTAGAGAGTGTCAGAGAGAGAGAGAGAGAGAGAGAGAGAGAGAGAGAGAGAGAGAGAGAGTGTGTGTGTGTGTGTGTGTGTGAGATGGGGATTGAAACTTGGGCCTCCTACATGCTAGACTAAGTGCTCTACTACTGAGCTACATCCCTGCCCATACTTTTTCTTGTTGAACTTGTGTCTTTAAATGTATGAGAAAATTGATTATTGATTATATTTACTGTCTTTTCATACTTTAAGTTAATAGTAACTTTGGCCCGAATTAAGATGTTCTTCAGAACCAGTCAAATAGTAAGTGCTTGTTTGTGTCTTAGAATTGCTGACAATTCTGTGACATACTGAAGTATTTTAAATCTGGAATTCTTTCTGCTCTCAAGTTGAATTCTGAGACTTAAAAGTTGTTAACATCCAGAAAAAATGTACAGAATTACTTTGCTGCTCTGGCATCTCTCTTTTTTAGACCAGTTTTGTTCAGCTGGCTCAGAAAACAAAAGGGCTAACAGTAGATACAGCTGTTAATTAAAATTATTATTAAGGAGTGTGGGCTTTAAGTTTAGAAAGTTTTGGGTTGATCAAGTACATCATATACCATGTTAATATAAATGTAATATGAAACTCATTCGGGTTCATGTTTCATATTTTATGTTAATAAGTAGGTCAGTGTTATAACTGGAATAACCATAAAAAACCAAACCAAAACAAAAAACCCCAATACCTAGTTAGCATTATATTAATTACAGGAAGAACTTGTGTCTCTTACACTTTTCCTATTATCCCTCTTTCTGGTTCTTCTAAATTAAGTCTGATCTAAATTTTGCTCAATTTTTTTTTCTCTTTAGTACTATTTTTTGTTCATATTATAGTATTCAGTTGTTTAATACAAGAATCACACACTCAAATTCTAGCTGGGTAGCATCAGTGAAGCAGGCAGGTTAGAGGAAAGATCAGTGAAGCCCAATCTTGACTTAAGGATATAGGTAGTGCTCAACACCAGGCAGTTGCCACCTCCAGAAATGTGGGCCCAGAGAGCCAGTTGAATGTGGGAGGGTTAGCACTCAAACTTCCTTACTTTGAATCCCTTCCTGCCACTTTGTGGCTTTTAAACACAAACAAGCTACTTAACCACTGTGCCTATTTGCCTCATCTCTAAAAGGTAGGTAGGTAGTACCTGTCCTATAGAGATTTTGGTGAAGATTAAATTAATTTTAAAATATAAATCATTTTAGGACAGAGCTAGCATGTAATAAATGCTATATATGCCACATTTTTACCAAGTCAGATGCACATTAGCATTTAAACATCTGAAATGAGAATA